GACGCCATGATTAAGATACTCAACCCTCACTCGCACCATTCTCACTCAACCACAACTCTTAAAACCGCTGAGATCTTGTCCAAATATAGACCCATTGCTCCTAGGCCCGGGACGCCCCGAGTAAACGAAGATGACCCTTCTTCCTCTATGTCTCACAAGATCAGCCAATCTCCTTACCTCCGTAACCTCTGGCCACAGCTTCAAGCGCGGCCTACAAGAACCCGCAAGCGAGGCCGAGGCGGGATGGGTCCCACATCTCATCTTTCCCTCAAGAGACACAAGCCATGTGCTTCTACCTCTACTAGTTCTACGAAACGTGTGTTTGCCACTATTAAACCGCTGTCGTTTCAGGCCTTCACTCATGGGTTACCACCCAATATCACACAGGTTGGCTCCTCTGCTTTGGTGACTCTACCCCTCCTTCAATGCTCTCCTCCTTCCTCCAAATGCATGGAGCCGGAGGTCAAAGGGAAGGGTGTCATTGATCTGAACAAGACCGCAGAAGTGATACAAGAGAGAGATTTCTTGAAGCAGCTACAAGGACCCATCACCACAACCACAACCAAAAGCAGAGTCATAGCACCGCAGCCCATAAGGCCGGTTTGCTCAAGGATCAACGTGACCTGCATAAACCCATCTACACCATCTCAAATCAGCAAGAAATCACCAGAAGAGGTCGAGGAAGAAGTTGAATCCGACGACTTACCCGCTGTGATATCCGATTCCAACAACAGGGTCAGACTCGTGAACTCGAAATACAAGGAGATGATGGGGCAGCCCGAGTGCTCATGGCTGGATTCGATGGTGAGAGGGAAGAGGATATGTGGAGAAGTGATGATCCATTTCTGTCAACCCAAAATTCCGGTGAATAATGGGTTTTCTTGCTGGGTCAGGATAGAATGGGGAAGAGATGGTAAGGAGGAGTCCGTGCACGCCTTCTGCGATGTCATGAGGCTTGCATGCCACTCCAAGGATTATCTCTTTACGTGGAGGTTTCACACAAGCAGAGAGACTTGTCTGTCAACCGGCAACGCTTAATTAGGTTTTCGAATATGTTTACTGCCTTAGCCTAACGATATATATAAATATATAGCCAGTATGTAAATCTCGGTTAGTCATAATTGTTTGAAAGGAAAAATTATGAAAATAACCTAAGAGAAAACTAAAATTAAAAATATAGGCCATGTCTTTTAATATTAAAAATATACACCAAGTTTGATATTGTTACCCATTAAATTATAATTATCATGTAAAATGAAAAAATTGCCATTGTCGTTTCAAGCGATGAATGCTGTGGATTTTGCATTAACAAACAACTCTTCTTTAGAAGTGTAGCGTTACACAAAATCATAACTGAAAGTGTTGCATTTTACGTAATCAAATGTAAAAGTGTTGATATATAGTCCTGGATACGTTCATGATCCTCCGTTGCAAACTGTCTTAGCTGGTAATAAAACTGAATTCGTCTCTTGCTCTTCTGCTCAAAAACGTCACCCAGAAGCAGCTTGGGTACACTTGCTCTAATCACTGGAATCAAAAACTCATAATTATCAGTTTCTTTACAGATTTACCGATAATTAAACCTCTGTATTTGTGTTGCTCAAGAACTTCTACGAATTTTCCAAGTGTTTTTGTTTATCCCGTTAAATGGTCGACCTGTACACAAGAAAATAGATTGCCTATCTTCTTCACACCTATTTTAAGAAATCGAAATTTTATTGATAATTCTGACAAAGATAATAAATAAAAAGCTACCAAGTTAATGAAAAATGGCCTTTAGACGAGCCCGGTGAAACTAATTTTGAGTTTTTTCTGCGTTTAAATGTCATGCAAGCCCATAAAATACGCTTACAGTACATATATATATGTGCAAACTTTCGGATTGAGTCGTTGCTAATCAAAAACCATTAGTCTAGCAATCAGTCGTAAGAATTGGATTGCTTGCTCCATCGACCACCACCGTCTACGGATTCTCCGATCAAATTTGATAGGGGTACTCTGAAATCCCGTTAGTGATTCCAAATCAAAATGAACCATTTATGCTTGACTCGATCCATGACTCGTAAGACGATGATCGAGAGCCGAGAGTGAGGATTAAGAATTGAGAGAGCGTTTTTTAAGTCTCATGATCGGGAGATTGAGAAGAACAATAATGGCTTAATCGTCAGAACTGCGGGTGTTTTATTTTTGCTATTAGGTAATTATTATAGTGGTTTTATTGTCATTTCACCAACGATTTAGCCTAATTTTTTAATTTCAAAATTTTTGGCCTATTTTTCTAATTTCTAATAAAATTTAGCCTATTTTATTAATTCTTCCTTGTTAAAATACACTACCAAGCACCACAACTTCCTCCTTTTGCGACTTTCTTTCTCTGTTACTGTGCGAAACCGTCGTTGGTATTTGGAGGGCTCTTCAAACTTGATGCTGTGTGCATGACTTGGGCTAGAAGCGACCAAACAACGAGAAGCTCTTAAAATTTCAAGTGGAATCCATTTATTTGGTGTCGAGAATATGACACATTCTTAAGAATTTTACGATTCAAACGTCCAAATAAATTTTGTGTTTGTCGATTAATTTTTACTACTACAGCTTTGATGGGGAAAAATAAAATTTGCGTGGCGCAAAAAAAAAATATATAAATTTTGTTTCATACTCCCGTTTGAAAATCGGTTGAGATATTGTAGAGACAAAGAGGCTATCTGTATGTGCTTGTAGCCAAAAATATATGGTCCTCATTACGAGGTAGAGAGGGAGATATCTATTGCGACTTGCCTGTCCGGATGTGGATACCAGATTCCGCGAGTTTGGATTTGCACAACGCAGTCAAGTGTCTTTCTCACAGTTTACTTGTCTTCTTATGCCGCCGGATCAGGCATCAAGATGGTCCTTCGGATTTGTTTTGTTAAGCTTTAATCGTTCTCGGTATAAACCACATGCTTTCATTCTAACGCGCAGAAGGTGTGCTTGTATCATTTGATTGGGAGAAACATTGGAGGCAATGAAAAGATTTGTTTGGGTGTGATTTAGAGATTTTTTTTACTTTTTCCGAACTTTTTGATAAGAGTACTCGGCTCACGTGTTCCATTTCTTGGCAGGAATACCCCGTTATAGGTGTCCTGTTTACCTACCCCCGAGTCATTATTTTTCAAATGGTGAGATTCCCTACCACAAGGCAATGGACCTAGGTTTCTTCACCCAGAGGTCCACACCATTTTAGAAACAGGTCTGTTAGAAATCCCACCATAACAGGTGGCTACGAACGACTTATCTAACTTAATAGGAATTACTCTATCTCAACAATTGTCTGTTGTTTGAGTCCTCAAAAAGGGCTCGGACAACGGACAACTCCCGTATTATCCACATCTAAACATTTTTTTTTTGAAAAAAGTCGTTTGTATTAGGTACTCGGGGTCCAGATCTGCTAACAAAGTTTGTTAGACCGATTGTTAGGAGGTCTTTGCCTATTCGTCGTGTGGAGTATCCCACTATTCATCCCTACGTGACTACTTGGAGGAAGAGTTAGAAGCACTTTAGTTTCTCCTAAGTGACTCTCCGGGAAGTCAGTCTGGAAATAGATTCCCTCGATTATTTACTTCTAGACCTTTTTTATTTGTCAAGTATCAATCGCTTGTAAGCCCGAATTGACCATCTGAACGATGGGTTAGAGCTTCCTCAAAAATTTTTGAGTGATCCTCCGTTGACCATTCATTTGCAGTCTCTTTCTCATTTGTGAAGTGTAAATCGCTTGTAAAATTGACCATTCCGGACGACAAGTCTAAATTTTGTAATATTTATTTGAGTTACCCTTCGGAAAACTCTTTTGGGAGTATAATCCCTTAGCTATTCACTTTCAATTCCTTCTCGTTTGTCAAATAGTAATTATAAGCCCGCCTGTTAGCCTGAGATGATAGCTCAGGCAACGGTCGATTATGGGCGTAGCCGTGGCCACGCACTCATAAACTATGGGTTAGAACATTCCGAAAATCTGGATGAATGAGATCTCTGAATTTAGAGTTTGTGTCCTGAGAGTCCAAAGTTTGATAGGCACGAGATCCTTGAGGGTCTTGCCTCAGTCTTGAGACAAGGGAGGACACAAGATCCCACACAGAGGTTGCGGTAACCTGAGTCTACAGACCGACGAGTAGCACAAGAACTCCCGATGAAAGTTGTGATAACTTAGATCAAGAGACCTAACATGTTCGTATGATAATTCCGCATGAAGGTTGCGATAACCTCGCAATCAGACTGATCGACTATTATTGGGGGTGCCAACTGTATGCTTTATTATGACTAGTCCCTTTCCCATCTGCGACATTAGAGTGAACCATGCTAGACGGAGGATAACACTTTTGTTGTACTCGGCGAGGAGACAT